TGTGATAGATGCCCCAAAGATATCTCTATGTTTTGCTTGCATTTCTTTGATTTCTAGTGATGTGGAAAATATTTTCATACTTTCCGTACTTTTATTAATGGTTTTCTTATCACTTTTAAAAAGATCTTCTCTATTAAAATATTGAGATATTTACATTGAAATATATTTTCCTAGTATTTGCAAGTTTCTTTCCTTTCTCCCCCTCTCCTTTTTTCCTCCCTCACTTCCTTGCTCCCTTCCTTCCAGAGTCTAACCCCTTTAGGATTCATTTTGATGTATGGCTTAAAAAAATATCCCATAGCCAGCCAGTTATCCCAGTACTAATTATTGAATAATTCACCTATTTAGCCACTGATTAGAAGCTATTTTGTTCTTTCATATCAAATTTATCGTCTTTTTCTAGACCTCATATATTCTTCCTTTGATGACCTATTCTCTTTCTTTTTATGTTTTATTTATTTAATCCTCACCTGAGGATATTTTTTCATTGCTTTTAGAGAGGAAAGGGGAGGGAAAGACAGAAACATTGATGTGAGAAAGAAATGTGGACCAGTTGCCTCCTGCACATGCCTCTAGTGGGGACCAAACCCTCAACCTAGGCATGTGCCCTGACCAGGAATTGAACCTGCAACCTTTTGGTTTATGAGACGATGCTCTAAATAACTGAGTTGCACCCACCAGGGTGATTCTTTTTGTTATACCATATTGTTTAAACTTCTGTTAAATCACGTAGTACTTATTTTCCTAAAAATTTTTAGGTATTGATATAGTATTTATTCTTCTAGGTGAAAATCAGGATTATTTTGTAAATTTTTTGACAAATCTGTATTAGGATTGGGATTAAGATGGAGGAAAGATATATTTCAATATTGAGTCTTCCCACTTATTCAAGGACATTGTGTATTTCTACATTGCTTGTTAAGTCCTTCCTAATAACTGTAGCTGATTAACACATTCTGAAATAGGCATTCCCTTTTAGTTTGTAGCAAATTCAAAACTGAATATGTGAATACCTTTATTGGTACTAGGTAGTTGTTATGAACTGAGTGTTTTTGTTTTCTTGAAAATTCATGCTGAAGCCTTAATTCCAGCCCTCCTGCCCCTCCCTGCAGTGTGATGGTATTTGATTCAGAGATAGGGCCTTTGGGAGTGAATTAGGGTTAGATGAGGCCATGAGGGGGAAGCCTCTATGATGGGACTGGTGCTCTTATAAGACAAGACACTGGGAGACCTGGGTCTCTCTCTCCCCCCACCTCTCTCCGTACTGGCACAAAGAAGTCATGTGACAATCTTGACAAAGTCAATGATAAACCAAGCCGAGAAAGGGGAGAGCCCTCACCACAAACTGGCACCCTGATCTCGGAAGCCAGCCTCCAGAACTATTAGAACATAAATTTCTGTTGTTTAAGCCACTCAGTCTACATGGTATTTTGTATTTGGTTATGGCAGCCCAAGCAGACTTCTACAGTAGTGTTTATATACTTCATCTTCCCTCACACTCTGCACTACCATTGGCTTCACCGCCCAAGGAAACTGTGCAATCAAATGAAATAATGTCCTTACAGAAAGGGCTCCTTTGTGATGTGTACTTATTTTACTGAATTGCTTTGCACAAGGATCAACTCAGGATAGATGAAGACTTTTGAGTCACTTACTCCCTATTCGAAATGAATACATTTTTAGTTCTATAGATAAATTGCATATTTCTAGAAATGATGACTTCCTTATCACACACAACAATGCCAAGAAAAGTTGTCACTGAAGTTTAGTGATCACAGTGTTAATACTCAGGCATATCTAGAAGTAGTAACAAAATCACCTTTCCAGTCATTCCTCACAGTTGTGAAAGTTTTTAGAATTTGCTAAATGTATTAATATGCAAAATATTCTTTCTCCATAAGAAATTCAAATGAAGTGTCAGTCTCATTTTATGGATGGAGCAAACAGTTTAGAGAAATGAAATGGCTTTCACAAGGTAGCATAAAACTAGGACTGAATTTAATGTATTCCATTGAATGAAATTATTTTCTGAGAACTTACTGGGTGCAAACTATGGCCTCAACCTAGGCCTTTATCTCCTGTGGTGATAGGAACTCTCATCAATTGGCGTAGATTCTTGGCTGCCTTATGCTACCCTGTCCTTAGCTCAGGTTGGCTCTTGGTGCCTGAAAAGATCTGCCTGCCACTGGACCCTGAACCTGCAGGCAGATAAGTGGTGATGTCTCTCCTAAGGGGCAAATCTCTCTCTGCCAGTCTCTACAGAGCCACTACTGGGCCAGTAATTGAAAAGGGTTTCTCTTGACATCTGAAGTGTTTGCTTGGGAAGTTCTCCAACTTTTCCCTCCCCCAATTCATCTCTCTACCCCCCAGTTATTCTGCTTTGTACACAGTAAAAAGGATGTTTAACATCTGTTTTTAGGTCCAAATGAGAGGACAGGCAGGCTACATGAAACCCACAGGCCTTGATTTACTCAGTATCCTGCTTTATCCTGAACCAAACCTTTTACTCGCAGTTCAGTAGTCATTGGCAGTGAATCGGTGTCCCAAATTCAACATAAGATATGTTGTTCCATGAAGTAGAAAGAGGCAAAAACACAGAACAGCAGGGATTTATAAGGCAAGAAACAATGAAGATAATACCACATTTAACTAAAGAACAGGTGAATTGTAAGTCAAGTTGTTTTTTGAGAAGACACGTGGCATTCAGCCCCAACTCGTATCAACTGCATAGAGAAGATAAACCAGGAACAAGGTATGCGGTACGATTTTCAGTGTCCTGGAAAAGTGAGTTTTTTAAATGTTTTGTTCTGAAAGTTATTTAAATCTACACATCTTGTAGATTGAACACAACAATTCACAACATTAGCAACTTAAAGTTCATCTTTGAATTTAAATCCACAGGCATTTTTTTCTTATTCTTTATATAGTAACCTTGTCTTACTTGATTTATTATGCCCCAGAAGTTAAAAAAAAATCATATCCTATAGGGGAAAAAAGAATAGATGCTTTCAGCACTTTGGAAATATTAAAGTTGTTTTAAATATTTTCAAGAGAACTCCACTGGACCCTGTGTGTTAGAATGGTACAGCATTACCCAATCAGAAGAGACCCCAGTATTTCATTATCAATAGTGTTCCCAGGAGAAATCTGATGAATGGAGCTATCAGCACAGATTCAACATGCTTCGCCCTCAGGCTCCTAAACTCAAAGGAAAATACTAGAATTTTCTTTATAGGGTCAGAAAAAAAGTGTAAATGTATACAGATAGAATAACACAGGACTATGCGACAGGGAATTACTGCATTTTAGTTTGGGCTTTGAGATTTTAACCAAACAATTTGGTTATTTTCAGATTTTAATTTCCTCATCTGTAAAAATGAAGATAATAATTCTTATGTCATATGACATCTGGAATGATTAGAGTGAAAATATTCCATACCCAAATGTTATGAAGTGGAAAAAGCAGGGAAAAAAGTGTTGAGGGTTCAATACATGACAGGTACTACTGTTACAGCTGGGCTCTCAAGAGCCGCTGTAGGTCCACGATGCTGCCGCACTAAAAATTTAAATCAAATCGTTAATAAGAATGCTTTTAATTAAATGTAAATAATCCATATTTTACTCTAAAAAAACTCTCTTAATTTTAATACATTTTTAAGCCTTGCTATTACAGAATCTCTAAAGCAGAGTAAATCAACAGTGGAAAATAAAAACACTTTCTATAAATATTTCCTTCCAGATATGTCTTTTCTTGTCACACTAATAATAATTCATATTAAAAATAATCTGAATAACATTTTCTATTTTTTCAAAACACCTTTCAACTAGAACCCTAAATTAGCTCTAAGTTAAATAAGCATACAATTTATCATTTAAAAATAGAAAAGTCTGACACATTTTTATATTTCTGCTGTTGAAAGACTTTTATAGATGAAGAATAAATAATTTTATACAATATTTTTAAATATTTTGTAGGCAAAGCTTCTTCAAACAGATTTTTAATCCAAAATATTACTATGGAGATGAAGGGAGGGGATTAAATACATTAGAATACACTGAAAGGCCATCTCAATTTTTCCTAAAAATAAAATTCAAGAAAACAATGAAATATTACAGATTATAAGCTTCAGCTATTAAAATTAGAAAACTAAGAACCACATAAGGTATTTTCTTTTCTGGTAACAGCATATGTAACTTTCATATTTACTTTTAAGAGTAGTCTTATTAAAATATAAATATCTTAAGAATTTAATAAATGTTTCAATAATGTACTTTGCTATTAGACATACATACAAGAGTTTAGGAAGAATCCATAGCATCTTCTGGTTATAGATTTAAAAAATCTGACAAGGTCATGGTCTTTTGTTTGACCTTATGTAGAAATAATTTGAACATAATTAAGACAAATTTAAAATCATTTTGGTGTATATTTGCGTAAGACTTTATTTTTAGTAGTTTTCCATAATTTCTTATTAGGAGGATTAGCTAGTTGTGAGAAAAGTTAAGTAATCTAAAATTAATACTTGATACTTAAGAGTCTAGTTATATGTGGCATATATGTATTAAAAACAAATAACTAAGCAATAAGAGATATTTTGTTTCTCAGATGAGGTAGGTAAATTAAAATATTCTGGAACATGATCTGACCATTAATAAAGGGAAACAGCAATCACCAATTCAACCTGTATAAATCAGACAGCTGGAGAATTTTTTTATTTTTAGCTTATATACCATATTTCTCAAGTACAAGGCCGCTGACATACAAGGCCTTTCTACTTTTCAAAAGCTTGCTAATTTGAAATTCAAGTTTTTCATTTACTTAATGATTATTTAATCTACCTAGGGAGTTTTTCTATTCAGATCAAAGACATCTGCAAATAAACCAAAGACTACTAATTTTTCATTTTCTATGTTTAAGTGGTATTTTCCTTTTATATACCTCATATAGTAAAATACAGCAGAAAAAAACTATTGCTCTTCAGATGTTATATAATAAATAATTACTTAAATGACAAAGAGTTAATAAAAATTTCAAGGTCTGCTAAAGAATTATGAAGCTCATCATTCATATCTTGACTTCTAAGAAAATTTTTAAGGGTATCTAAAGCAGTTATTGCCTCGGTTTTTGATGGTAAAGGAAGGTCAGTTCCCAGAGATCCACCATCATCCTCCTCATCAGAAATATAAAATCCACTTTCATTTGATTTACTTTCCTTGGTCCACACCACGTCACCATTTGGTGCTGCTTCACATGTCTCCAGGTCATCATCCAGGGCGGCATACTCTTCTATAGATAAACCTTCAGGAAATTCTACTCCTGCTGCTTGGGCGTGGGCAACCAGATCGAGACCAGTGTCGGTGTCTGCATTTGTCTTGTCGCTTTCTCCCTGTTGGGATTTGAATCCTGCCTCCTCGTAGCTCTTGACAATAGTCTCAGGGGTTACAGCCCTCCAACAAAGATGCAAGGTATCAACTGCATCTAGCAGGGAAAATGTAAATTCTTTGCTGCCTTCAACAGAACTTAAAAATTTCTTGATGAGACAGTGTCGATATTTGATTTTAAGGCTTTTAATAACACCTTGTTTCATAGCTATAAATTTGGAAGACAAACAGGATGGAAAAAATGCTAACTCAATGGACTTTAGGTTCTTTACCTCTGGATGTGCAGGAAAAGAATCAACAAAAATTACTACTCTTCGTTGCTGGGCTTGAAACTTCTCGTCAAGCTTCCGCATCCACTGTTCAAATACATCTGAGGTCATCCACGCCATTCTGTTAGCTTCATAACACACAGGCAATGATTTTATACCTTTGAAACAATGTGGGTTTCTGTTTTTCCCAATGATAAGCAAAGGAAGTTTCTCTGAGCCGTCCATGTTTGTCCCAACCACCACAGTTATTCTGTCTTTGCATAACTTTCCAACTGAGCATGTTTCTCCTTTAAATGCAAATGTATTTGTAGGCAACATTCGATAAAGCAGCCCAGTCTCTTTTATATTAAAAACATTTTTAGGATGATAATCATTTAAATAATAAGGAAGTACATTTTGGTGCCAAACAGTTGAAGGGTCTACTGATACACCTGTAGCTTCTACAGGCTGAGCTCTGAATACTAAACCATACCTGGATTTAAAGCGATCCAGCCATCCATTACTGCACTTAAAATCATTGTGTCCCAGTTTCTGGGCAAAATCATTAGCTTTTAGACGCAACATTGGACCATTAACTGGCACATTTAGACACTGAGCAATTCGATACCACCTCATTAATGCCTCTTCCAGATCTGTGTAGAAAGCAGTTCTCAGTCTTTTTCTCTTTGGATCAAATCTCAGAGATTCAAAAGCTTCTAGAACTTTGTTTTTATTCTTCATTATAGAAGACAAAGAATTTTTCTTTATTCCATATTCAGCTGCAATCTCTGCTTTTTTCTTGCCACTTTCTACTGCATTTATGATGTCGATCTTTTCTTCAATGGACAGGCTTTTCTTTTTTTTCACTGTTACAGGCAGAGTTGAGGCATCTGCAGGAGCTTCTGCCATCTTGCCCAGTGCTTATATAGAGATTTCTCCTCTTCTTGGTGTTTCTTTAATTAAGTTGCCTTTCCAGTATGACAGCAATTGCTGCTCTTTAGCTATTTCATATATTAAAAAGTTGGTACGCAGTCTTATTCCTTAGGAAACTGATGATTAAATATATATTGTTCAATCATTTAGAAGACCTTGTGCGGCACGGTTTATAGTTCCAGAAGTAAGCTCAAAGAGAAATCTCATTTGTCAGACCTGTCCAATCCTGCTGATGTATTTTTGGAACTTCAATCCTTTAAGATGACCCATTTTATCCATTTGGGCATTAAACCTCCTGTTAATTCTTCACAAAAGGTCTCAGAGGTAAGAGCAAATAGCATTCAGAAACTTTCATGCAAAATGTTACCCATTCATTTCCAAGTCTCTTCATGGCAGAGAAGAAAACAGTGGAATCCTTCCAGGGCTTGACCACATATCTTCTGTCTCTTGAAAATGTACAAAAACAACAACAAAAAAAACAGAAAATAAAATAAACCCCAGCATTTTTATCAATGATATGTCAATTGAATATCAAAAAGAATATTTATGCTAATTAGTTATGCTTTTAATACTAAAAAAGAATGGGAGCATATTTCTGAAAATACAATAACCAAAGCAGGAGAAATGCTTACCTTCAGAAGGGCCTCTGTAAAAAGCTCTTTAGCTCTGCTCTGTCATTTGAATTTTCACTTGCCTTTGCATGGTTTGTAATATATACTTCTGAAATAAACCAGACAAATTTAATCTGTTTTGAAAATGTGGGCTTACCAAAATTAAAGAACTAAAAATGATGCTGGATGTATCTTTGGCAGCTATTTTTTACATGCAGTCACAGACTGCCCCCTCTGACTTCTCTAAAAGAAAAACATAGTCAGACAGCAGTCACAAGGTCCGACTTTTAATAGCATGTGGAAGACGGTGTCTCCTTTGTCGGAATCTGGTAGAAAACGCTGCACCAGGCCCTGGCTGGGCAGCTCCGTCGGTAAAGCGTTGCCCTGATGCACCAAGGTTGCAGGTTTGATTTCTGGTCAGGGCACATACAAGAAGCAATCAATGAAGGTATCAGTAACTGGAACAACAAAACTGATGGGTTTTTCTCTGTCTCTCTTTCCCTTTCTCTCTCTAAAATCAATAAAATAAAAATTAAAAAAAGAAAATGCTTCATTAAAAATCAAGTGATTTCATTAGTTTAAAAATCTAAATCTTATTCTATCTAAATGTGTGAAAACCTAACTTTACTTTATTGATTTGACACATTAGCCAGATGCACAGAGGCCAGAAAAACTTGACAAAATGCATAGGAGTAAACAAATTATTAAGAGGACAATGCAGAAAAAGACCTAGACTAAGAACAAAAAGGAGCGTGACCGTGGGTCTTAACCTCCCCCCTTCCTTACTTGGGCCTGCCACAGTGTAAAGACAGGGGCTTTGGGGCTAGACACACCTGAGTTGACAGGTGACTCTGCCACTTAGTTTTTATGTGATCCTGGGTGGTTTACTCAACCATTTGACCTCAGTTTTCTTATTTGTAAAATAGGGGTTCACTACAGCACGTGCCTCAAAGGGTTACAGTGCATTCAGTGAGATTCAGTGAGAGCATGTAAAGCACTGAGCAGAACATTTAGCGCCTTACAAGGTGTTCAGTGAATGTTTGGTGATGATATCATCATTCTTATTTTCTCTCTAATGTCCCTTTTGTTATGTCAGTATATAAAATTCTGGAATTTGCCCTGGGTGGTGTAGCTCAGTGGATTGAGTGCAGGCCTATGAACCAGAGGAACCGCAGTTTGATTCCCAGTCAGGGCACGTGCTTGAGTTACAAGCCAGTTCCCAGCCAGGGAGGCACAAGAGGCAACCATACATTGATATTTCTCTCCCTCTCTCCTTCCCTTCCCCTCTAAAGATAAATAAATAAAATCTTTAAAATTCTGGAATTTTACTGTGCAGGGGTTGGCGAAAGTAAGTTTACAGTTGATTCTTATATTATCACTCATTACTGTATTATTTGTTTGTATTACTTGTCTTTTTCCATACCAACAACTATAAACCAACTTTTGCCCACCCCTGGATATACTGAAAGCAGAGTCTCTTAAAGGAAACCATACTGAATCTACAGGCTTCAGGCCCACCGCAGATGCAGTCAGCGAACTAATCTGACACGTGGTGTAACTGCTGTGTGAAACCTTGTGGGTGCGGCATTCCTCTAGTTTTTCTCTGTCCTCCTGGATTTCAAGATGACACATGCATTTTTTTTGCACAAAAATTATTTTTGAAAAATTTGTCAAAATTCCTCCGCCTTTGTTGTCCAAATAAAAAAAGTAATTTTTGTCATAGGAATTACAACCAGTAAGGGAGTTTGCTGCTGTTATTGTCATTGCAAGAGAGGTCTTAATAATTATGAGAGCCTAGGCTTTAGTTTCCAAACCTCTTTACTTCCTATATTCCAAACAACTCAGGAGGAAGGTACAAGTGGACTTCAAAACTCATACAGTTACAGTGTGCTCGAGTGCAGTGTGGGATCCAGGCTTTGTCTCGAGTCAAGTCGGCCATGCTCCTCACTGTGTTACAGTGCCCCCAAATCACGCTGGGGTGGCCTCCTCTGACAACACTTACACACCCGTGCCCCCAGCACCAAGCCAAGTCAGCATTTCCAGTGCCCAACCAAACCCAACGACCACCACAAAGGGCAGTATCAGACCCCACAGAACAGGCCATTGTGAATTCTGTGAACACAAATAACAACTGAGGGATTTGACCATTTAGTTGATTTGACCATTCAACTAAAAAAGAAAGTGCTAATATGTGGGATATTTTGTACGTTTTTGTGCAATTTCCTAAAAATCTAAAATTATTTCAAAATAAAAATTTAAAAATATCTTGCTTATTAGGAAGATACCAACCTTCAGAAATTGAGGTAGCAAGAGCCAACTTTTAAGAAAGACAAAACCAAGCAAAACTACTCTTCAATCTGCCAACTTCACTCTCACTTTTCTTTTGTCCTTCCTTTTATTCTTTCTGCCTTATTTCACTTGTCAAAAAGAAACCTTACTATCCCAATTACAAGGATTACAGAAAAAGGTGCTTGAATTTCCTCCCTTATACCATCTCAAATGAAGCAATATAATATATATAATCAGAAATTACTGATTATCTTGATCAAATTGATAAGTGATATGTTTATTTAGGGAGGTATTAATTATTTTTTCTTATCGGTAATAGCATGCATTTCCTTCCAAAACAGTAGTCAAAGCTACAATATTCCCTGGTAAGATACAATATATCTTTATTACTGAAATAACCACATTTCTAATGCTAAATTGGAGAAGCTAGACTTTTCCCCTAGAAATGAACAAGGCACCTACTGTCTAATCAATAAAGCTGACATTTTGCATTCTCCCACAGTATTACATCTGAGAGTATGGCAGCAGCAAATATTTCTTAGAATTATTCATTCTCAATTAAGCTCATTAATCATTCTACCCCTTGAAAATATTACAGCAGAGAAATGCTGTACTACCCATTAGTGCCTATTTTCTCTTTGTGAACAACAGAGCTAACTAAAGAAAACTATGGTTAACTCTACTGGTAATAATAGAAATGTAAATCTTCTTTCGAAATAGGAGATACCTTTTGGGTGTTTGTTTTTGCCTGTCAGAATGGTAGTGTCCAGTGTCCTCCTGGATGCAGTAACATAGGTTATTAGGAGGCATATAAATTGGTACAAAGCTCATGGAGGGCAAATTAGCAGTATGATACAAAACCTTAACAATGCACAGAACTTTTATTCAGCAGGTCCATTACCTAGGATTCCCCCCCCAAATAATTATAGATATAAAAATAATCAAGTTTACAAATGTATTCATTTTTGATTGTTGCATAACAAAATTACCACACAGGTAGTGCTTAGAACAAGAGCCATTTATTATCTCACAGTTCTGTGGGTCCAGAAGTCTGGGTCCTCTGCTTAGGGTCTCACAAGGCAGAAATCCAGATGCCAGGCATGTGGGACTCTTATCTTGAGGCTCTGGGGAACACACTGGCTTCCAAGTTCATTCAGGTTATTTGCAGACTTCAGCTCTTTGTGGCTGTAGGACTGAGGTCCTGGTTTTTTGTTGCCTGTCAGCAGAGACTGCTCTCAGCTCCTGGAGGCCTATGTCAGGGGCCTGCCTGTGGCCTCCTTCATTTCAGCAACGAGAACCTTCCTCAAGTCAAATCTCGCTCGCACTTCCAATCTCTCTGACTTCCTCTGCTGCCACCAACAGGAGAAAGCTCTCTGCTCTTTGAAGGCCCATGGAATCAGTGCAGGTGCACCCAGATTAGTTCCCCTTTGACGAACTCAAAGTCAACTGATTAGTAACCTTAATTTCTGTCTTTTGCCATGTAAAGATCGCACTTCTCTGCCCAATATTTTTAGAGAAAAATAAGGGTGCACATTATACATGGATATGATTACATACCATGGGTATGTATACCTATGTAATACATACTCACAGAAATGTGAGTGTGCATTATACATGGCAAAATATGGTACATCTGCAAAATCCCTTTTGAATGTAATATAACATAATCATGGGAATGATATCCTATCATGTTCACAAGAGAGGGAATTATACAAGGTGATGATTATTGGAAATCATCTTAGAATTCTACCACACTATAATATTCCTTAGTTGTTTTATAATTACAGACAAGATTGGAAATAACCTTAATGTGCAACCAAAAGTATTAGATAAGTAAATAAAGGAAAATCTATATGCTAAAATACTGCTGAGCCACTAAACATTATTCGATATGAGGAAAATTGAATACTGTATTAAGTGAAAAAAGCAAAATACAAAACTGTATACCAACAGATACAACTGATACTGAAAGTCACATGAGGCCAGAGGCTCATAGCTATTCCTAGAGTGTGTAATGCTAACAAAAAAAATGGTTCTCACTAATGATTTGTTGAATAAATGAAGAAAAAATATATACACATAGAAAAAAGACAACTAAAATGCTAAATGTTAACTCTAGGTCATGGAATTATGAATAACTTCAGTTTTTTCTCTTTGTAGTTAAAACAATATCTACTTTTATGTTCTACTCATTCTACTGTTCAAGGCCTTCTTTAAGTGTTCCATTAATCAACAGGGACTCAAATCAACAATGTGACCAGAAGGAAGAAACAAACATTCAACTGGAACAGAATAAGGAAACAGAATTTTAAAAACTGAGAGGCTTAGGAGCCTCCAGGACAACTTTAAGCACTCCAATATCCAAATGATAGGGGTGCCAGAAGGAGAAGAGGAAGAGCAAGAAATTGAAAACTTACTTGAAAACATAATGAAGGAGAACTTCCCCAGTCTGGCAAAGGAAATAGACTTCCAGGAAGTCCAGGAAGCTCAGAGAGTCCCAAAGAAGGTGGACCCAAGGAGGAACACACCAAGGCACATCAGAATTACATTAGCCAAAATTAAAATGGAGAGAATTCCAGGAGTAGCAAGAGATAAGGGGACCGTTACCTACAAAGGAATTCCCATCAGACTGTCAGTAGATTTCTCCAAAGAGAGCTTACAGGCAAGAAGGGGCTAGAAAGAAGTATTTCAAGTCATGAAAGGGCAAGACCTGTATACAAGATTACTCTATCCAGCAAAGCTATCATTTAGAATGAAAGGGCAGATAAAGTGCTTCCCAGAGAAGGTCAAGTTAAAGGAGTTCATCATCACCAAGCCCTTATTATATGAAATGTTAAAGGGACTTATTTAAGAAAAAGAAGAACAAAACTATGAACAGTAAAATAGCAACAAACTCACAACTATCAACAACTGAACCTTAAAAAAACAGAAACAAAAACAAAAACAAGCTAAGCAAACAACTAGAACAGGAACAGAACCACAGAAATGCAGATCACCTGGAGGGTTATCAGTGGGAAGGGAGAGGGAGAAAATGGGGGGAAAGGTACAGGAATAAGAAGCATAAATGGTAGGTACAAAATACACAGGGTGAGGTTAAGAATAGTATGGGAAATGTAGAGGCCAAGAACTTATATGTATGACTCATGGACATAAACTAAGGTGGGGGAATGCTGGTGGGAGAGGGGTATGGGGGGGATGGGACAACTGCAATAGCATAATCAATAAAATATATTTTAAGTGTTCTATTAATCAGTATCCTCCAATAAAGAATTCGTTTCCAGAGAATTACACTGTGTGATCAGTAACTAAATATTTTTCCATGAAAAGGGAACTGTTAATAAAGTGAAGAAATTATTACATTACCAGAATTCCCCTAAAAAAGATCTGAAGGTAGTACCTTTTTCTTTCTGTTGAGGAAATAATATTGATAAGTAATATACAGTATTCAACATCTAAAGCAAAGAAACAAGGTTACATTAATATTTACTTCCTCATAAAGGAATAGTAACCTGTTGCCTCTTTCCTTCTGGTCAATAAATGAAAGGTAGGCTGCTAGAGTTCCTCACAAACCAAATGAATAAATGGTACCTGGTTTTTTGAAAGCTGAATAATAGACAATAATAGTACAAAGGTAAATAAGTAGAAAATCCCCCTGTATAAGCATACATGGCAGGCAGCTATTCCCTTTTTCTCATCTCTCCAAACATAATTGCCAACTGAGAGATAAGTAGTTGTCATCTATTCTCCCTGAAAACTGGCAAGTAGAATTCCCCAGGCTCTAGGGGCAAGCAGGGAGAGAGATGGAGGAGACGGAGGGAGGGAGGAGAGGGAGGAAGGGAGGGGAGAAAGGAAAAGAAAGAGAAAGAAAGAGAAAGAAAGAAAAGAACGAGGAGGGAAGAAGGAAAGGGGTTAAGGAAGGAAAAAAGGAAGAAAGGAGGGAGGAAAGAAAGAGGAAGAAAAAAAATGTGTCCATCTAAGCAAGGCTAGGTTTAAAATAAGGTTTTTCAGGCAGTATGAAAAATTCCCCAAAGAAAGTACATAGAATTTCACTGTTTTCCATCACCAGCTGAAGTAGCTTCCAGTGTTTTCTTCAAGCCAACCTGCCTTCTAATTCCCCTTGGAGCAGGAGAAATCATTGGTAAGATTAATCCTGTACATAGCCTTGCACAGCATAACACTATGTATGAGGACTAATTATACACAGGACCAGAATCATACGAGACTGAAAAGTACCTGACATGAACCATAACACCTTCACCAAGTAGAAGTTAGCGTTAGTTCCAACTGGGTTCAAATCCATCAGAATCTTTATCACAACCATTAGCAGCTTCCAAGGACACCATCCAGCTAAGGAAAAATAACTAGAAAAGTGTCCACCTTTCTAACATAAGAAAAGCCTCTGAGTGCAACAGACTAATAGACTAACTAACGAAGCTACATGCCCCCAAACTCAAGACAACTAGCAGGAATCCTTAGGGTACCAGCCAGCTCAAGCAGTTACGTACACGTCACTCAAGAATCGCCAGCACCAGTACCGTCTTGCACTTCCTCCTCCTGGTCACCCTTTTGGAACTGCAGAACACTTGTACTCAGCAACCAAATTCTGTTCGGTTTCTATTCTATAAGAGCAGTAATTATTCTAATTGGGATCCTTTTCTTATAACTGAGAAGACTAACAAGATGGATTTGAACCCAAAAAAAAGCCCACAGTAAGCTACAGAACTGAAGTTACAGTGAACTGGCATACATTCGCTTTCAAGAACAGAGCTATGTAAGATAGGGGTCCTTTATATACAAATTTATGTTTTGGAATTTCAGCACTTTTTTTTTTTGCCAGAGGAGGTGTCCTGGAGACTTCAGATCATAAATATTGTTATTTTACCTTTGAAACATTTATAGTGTCATAGGTATTTACTATTTACGGATATGGGGAAGATATCTGTACAGGGAGATATTGTGCTGTTCACTATGTTGAAAGTCCCTAGAAATTTGAAGAGGCAGAGTCTGCCTTTGGGCACTTATGAAATAAGTTATGAAATATACCTTGTTAGCAAATGTGACAAGGAAAGGCAGGCCAGAAATATGGTCTAAAGAAGGATAAATTCCACGGAGTGAACAATTACCTTTCGCCTTTCTAGAAGTGAAATGCCGGTAAAAGAGCGGCCACGGCTGTCAAAGGAAAAGCAGTCCAGAACCTTGAAGGGAGACGGGTGTGGGCGAACCAACTGTGTGTACACTATGTAAATGAGCTGCACATATGTCTAGCCCCACTGAGAGGCCATCCATTCCCTCTAGTCAGCGCTGGAGCTAGGGAGAGTATCCTGAGTACAGTTTGGGGCCTCAACTTAGGAAACTACAGAGGGCTCAAAGAGAAGGGTTTGTTCCGCGGTTTCTGCAGGCAGGGCAGTGATCTTAAGTAACGGGCAAACAAAGAAAGCAGAAACCAGTTGTATGGATAAAGAGTAGCAGGAAAGAGAAGTATCAGGGATTCACTATCAGCGAGCGCACAGGGCTGAAAGTTAACAAGAACACAGAGATGGGGGGCGTGGGTGGTCTGGTCTTCCTGAAAGGCGTGAGCGTGAGTGACGTAGCAGGCGGGGGCTCTCCAGGCACTGAAGAAGCGGGGGTGAGGCGCCTGCATCCCAACTGCTCTCTAACCCGCATTCCCTCCACCCTCCCACCCTCCGCGGGACTGGAACAACCCCTGAACTCTCCCGCAGCTGAGAAAGAAGCTTTGGCTCTCCCGTGATTTGCGTGGCGGTGAGCTACGTCCTCTTTCACCCTCCCGCCACCGGCTCACCGTCTGTTGGGGGAGATGCCTAACGCGTGAGGCTGGGGTGTGTGAGGGAGAAAGAAGAATACCGAGGACTCCTGGAGACCTCCGACCACTCAAGGTCAGGCCCGCACGCCCTTCCGCAAGCTCCCAGCTCTGGCCAGTGCCTCGGAACCCACGTACACATCCCTCAGTGATCCCGCCGCAGACAGAAAATTACCAGGGCAACGGCACCAGGGGAGCCCCGGATGTGGTTGCTAAGGCCGCTGCGAGAGGGGCGGGGCCATCCTCCGGGAGAGGGGCGGAGAGGTCTCCAGGGAGACGCGCTGGCACCATAGAGACGTGGCCGGCTACAGGAGATTGAGGGAGAGAGAGGACGTCCAAAGTCAAGGACAGCGCTACTTCCGGTTTCCTCACTTCCGGCCCCGCAGTTCGCGTTTTGGGCCGGGTAGGGAGGTCCCCTGGCTGTGTCCTCGGCGGTTGGTCAGTGAGAGGCTGTGACAGCTGCATTGACTTCCCGCCCCCCGAGAAGCCGAGGTGCGTGGGGGGAGGGGAAGAAGGAAAAGGCCTAGGTAGCGTTTCCGCTCACTCCTTCCCAGGGTTTAAGACCTTTCCGGAGAGCAGCGGCAAGGATCTTCCTCGACGTGAGTGCTGCCGGGCTCCCAGCAGACAGGTGAGGGCGGAGCTGGCCCACCTGGAAGGAGGCGGAGGAAGGCTAGCTAAGTGGTTGGCTGTGGTGGACACGTTGCCTTTGGGGTTCCGGACATGCACAGGACACTTCTATGCTTAGTCTTCCCGAGTGTTCGATCTTTGGTTTCTGCCCTTTCGTTCCTCCAGTCCTCCCAGAGTGTGTCCCCCGAAATAGCTAGGTGAAGAGGGAGGCCAGGCCCTTACAGGGCGGCACCCTCTTGGCTTTGCAGGCATTGGGTGGGAAGAGGGGTTGCAGGATACAGGTCTTTATTAAAGTCTCAGAGTGGGCCACCTTCAGGTTTGGTGTCCATCCTTTATTTCTCTTCTCCCCCTGCATACCCCACTTCCTTTCTCCCTCACTGAGAGGCGGCAGACAGTGATAGTCCCTCCGAGAGATTCTCCAGGCAGTAGTGCAGGAGGAGAAGCCTTGCTTTTGAAATGTCCCAAGCCTGACTGCTCGTGGGGACGTCCAAGGAATGCTGGAGTTTGGGAGGGAGGTTGTGCTGTCGTCTTCTCGTCCGGTCCTCTTTGTCAAGTTACTCCCGTTTCCGTGTCTAGGAAAAAGAGATTTTTTTAAAGAACGGTTTCTAGGTGTTTTTTCCTTTTACTTTATCATTACTTCCTTTCTTATCTTTCTCGAGCATTTTGATCTCAAAAAGTGTGTAGTTTACACTTCCTGCAAATCCTTTAGCCACCTCCCTTTAGGATTTCTGTTCCCGTGCCTTAGTCATCTCCTAAAGTATATACTTTCTCTGACTTAGTTCTTATTTGATAAGGAAAAATGGAAGATATGCAAGACTTTTCATAAACTTGTGCTTTGACCTGTAAGGGTGTGTTCACGTTTATTACTTAATTAACTTCATGGCGTAGAAATGTGCACCAGAACTGGTTTACTTTAAATGAGTCCTGTGTTACGACTGCAGGAATTGGCCATGGCATTGCTGCTCTCTCAGAGTGATTACAACACACTGTATATTAGTACTGTTTTAATCCACTTTTCCCCCCTTTTGTCCTGTTTGTTTTCCTTGCCCAGCAGGACCAACACCCTCTCCCAGCCCCCACAGTCTGGCATTAGAAAGTATTTCTGATCTTATTTTATTTACTGGATTAAAATCTCTGCTTCACTTTCATTCTTTTTCAAGGTGATAAATTATCTTAATCTTGGGTTATGTATGTGATTCAACCGCCACTCTGAAATTATGTACAAAGTTTTGTTTGAGTGCATTTTGGGATTGGGGGAGGGTCCATTCTTTTTATCAAATTCTCAAAGGAGATAATATAACCTTCAGATAGTGTGTGTATATACAACACACACACATATGACATATAACCCCCAGATGTATAACTATGTCTTAGTGTGTTGTTGAAGTTAATGGAAACATTTTTTTGTGGGGTTTTATTTTTCAAATTGTAAATAGCTTGTTTGGGGAGAGTAGAATGCAGAGATTCTAGCTTTATACTGAATTCTCTCTAACTACTTCAAAACATCACTTTCTAAATTCCTTCCTATACCTAGAGAAGGAAGTAAGATTGCCTACTTTAGTTCCTGATTTGTGGTTCTGAGGTTTCTTTTTAGGGATAGCTGTTTGTGGCTGATGCCATGAAGATCGAGTGTGTTTATAAATTAATGAGTTTATTAGTTTTTAAATGCATATTATGTATCACCAACCTAGGTACAATTCAGTGTAAAAAATAAATTCTTATTGCACTTTGCATTCATTTTCTTGTTTTTCACTTTAGGCATCCATTTTGGGCCTTGGCTTTGCCCCAAAGGAAGAGCAAATAAAATGTTTGCCCTTAGGAAGGGCAAATAAGATGTTTCATAGTGTTTTCTATAAGCTTTCAATATACTTTTGCTTATCATAACACCCCCTTTCCCACCATTCTATAATACGTATATTAATGATTGTTCTCTCTTTTGAATAAGTTAATATTCGTTCAAACCTAATGCAAGTTTAGAGTGCATATTTGAACGCACTGATTTGGTTATGCAGTGTTTGTTGATGAAGGATTAAAGTTCTAGATGGTTTACATTTGTTTCATAGAACTTGAAGAAACCTATACAGCTTATAGGTAACCAGTCCATATAGAGTAACCAGTTTCTTCTCACAAAATAAAATAATTTTCTGTCTAACACCCTCACTTGAGGAGCAGCAGAAAACATAACTTTACAAAGAGTAAATTATGCTGTATTAGTTTCCTTCTAATGTAATGACGAAGTCAGAAGATGCGATATAATATCTAACACCGTAACAACAATTAACATTCATTTGCTTACTGTGAGGCAGGCGTTATGCTACACACTTTATGCATTGATCTCATCTAATCTTGACAGCAACCTCAGAAGACAGCTTAAATTCCCATGTTTATAGATGAAGAAACTAAATGATTACTATGAAGCTAAATGATTAACTGACGCTAAAGTTATCTGCTCAGGATTACACAGATGAAGCCAGAATTGAACCTGAGTCATCTGACTCCCGTTTGTGAGCCTTTAGCTGTTGCTCTAGACTGCTTCTGTCGTATCTTTTTTACATCTTGTTTGACCTGAGTTAGAGGAATCTCACTTGCTTTTTTGTCAGACATTAAGAAAATAAGATATTTTCTTTTACTAATGTACAGTGGATGAACACCTGGTTGAAGTCATACTAAAAAGTAGGACAAAGAGAAATAAATTTGGAGTGTTATTTGATAGGCTTTTCCCATGGGATGGATGTAAATTTGTGTGTGTGTGTATTATGACATGAGGAGTAGAAAATGTGAAAATAAGGATTTTTAATGAATAAACTTCGCATTGCGAGTCTAGAGATATAAATACAGGGTCCAGCAGAAGTAACACCTGCCTTACTGGTTGGTAGGGTAATAACATGGGTGTAAGAATTTATAGTTTTAATTTGAACATTTCAGCTAAAATGTCATATGGTGTGCTTGAGTGTGATATTGTTATGTTATAGAATTACATGCTTATGATTTTGTAATAAAGGTTTTGTAATAAAAAGGCATTATTTGTGCCAGACCCTGTATAATACAGAGTGATAAATTTGGAATAGACTAAGGAATAAATTCAGGATGGAGGAAGGAGTAAATTCAACAGAGAATTTAAGATAATAGGTCTATGGGTGAAGAACTAACAATATATGTACAGACTGGAAAGAGTGGTTGCATATAATACGGAAGATGATGACTTAGGGACCATGACACTCTAAAGTCAGATATGCACCAGCATTAGTTCTAGTGTGTATGAAGAATACTGTAAAACAAATGAATCTGAAAATAATCTTATCTTTGGTCTCAACTAGCTTTAGGCTGTCATGGGAGCCACTGAACAGCCCTTGCAGAGTCTCAGCTATTTGCTACTAGACAAAAGTATATGTTTTCTGTCCTTTATTCCTTTTCTTCTTCTTCCCTCTATCTTACTGTTATTCCCCTCTCCTCCATTACTCATAAACCTTCGTCTGCAGATAGTTATAGGCAGGCATTGCTGGAAGTTGCTCATATCTTTTGTGAAAGTGTGGCAATATCTTTGCCAATTCTCACCAAAGAGTTTTTATTTTCTTTCATTTTTATATATCCCCGGCAGCTTTGGGCTAGCACTCTTCGATGTTCGGGCTTCATCCTCTTTTACCCTTTGGGAAACTGTGACACACCGTCTTTGGAGCAGGATCATAAGAGTAGCAGAATGGGATGGTGAACCCTAAATCATCAGGGAAGAGAGTAAGTTCGCCAGCTTATTTCTGCTGGAATAGTGCTTTCAGACGGGCTTTCCAAACTTCCCTGCATCGTGGCACACATGGAAAATGGTTATATTTGTATGGCAGGCTGTAGCCAGGCTCTCCCTGACTCGCTGAAAGCTGAGGGGGTGGGGAGAGTGGGTTGGTATTTCAGCACATCTGTGGTCCATCCTCAGCACACTGAATGGAAGGAAAGCTTTGGCCTAAAGAGGAGTCTGTTACTCTGTGTTTAATACCTTCTGTTTATTCAGCATGTAATGATTTACAAAGCATTTTGACATACATTCTCATTTTATTTTTATTCCACTTATGTCAGGACATTGCATTATGTTATGTAGGTAGGACAGATAACATTACCATGTTAGACATGAAGAAGTTTTTAGATTAAGTTCTTTGTATGAGGTTACACACTTAATAAGGGATGGGTCAGATAGTCAAAATCCAGGTGGAAAGAGTCCTTGGGGGTTAAGCAGTGGCAAGTGACCTCCAAAATGGCCAGGAATCCTGTCTGTTTTGTTTCAGAGTGCCTCCAGCATCTTTGACAGCTCTAGGCACAAAGAAGTTCATCATAGCTGAACTTTGAGTACTACTCTGACTAGGCATTATGCTTTATAAATGCTATTCGTGTATTAGGAATTCTTACTTTCTAGTAACAAGTGAGGAACAAGTATACAAAACAGCAGGAATATTCAGTCTGAGGTCACTCAAGTAGCAGAAGGAGAACTCAAGACTCGGTAACTGAAGTTGCTTGACTCCAAAGCTTGTATTCTTCTCACTGTAGTGACTAAATGATTTTAGGACATTGCAGAGATTGGACTCTAACTAAAGTGTGTGACATTGGTGACAAGAGGGTGGTGATGAAAGGAAGATACAGGCAAGTGGACTGTTCAATGTGTAATTTTAGCAATTTTGAGGTAGAATTCTAGAGACGACTGTCTAATCGGATTTCTAGGTATTTGAGGACGGGCGTGGAGTAGAAGAAAAATGTGCTAAAACTCAGGGAAATTGGTCAGTGAGGCCACAGGCCCTGCTAACTAAAGGCTTAAAAATCTAGATCCTCTTTATATTTAGTTAATGTTAGTTGTAGATTATTTCCTAAAGGTAGGTTTACAGATTATTTTCCTCTTTCTATATTTCCTAATTTATCTATATAGCACATTAATTGTACAAGTAATATATATTATTGAAATAAAGGTTCAAATAATATAATAAGCAGATGGAATGAGAATTTCTACTTCTCTAATTTTTCTAGGCCTCTAATCCCTCCTAGTTAATTCACAAGGTAGTTGTTGGGGATTCGGTGAAATACACGAGGAAGCACTAAACCCATGCTAATACCACATGCCTGTTAAAATTAGTTAAAAATAGGATTTAAACAACTCAGTTCCTTAGTCAGACCAGGCACATTTCATGTGCTCAGTAGCCATATGTGTCTAGTGGCTATGTTACTGGACAGTGCACGTATAGATCATTTATAATAATACTGGCCAGTCCTGCTAAAACTTTAAAACACTGTGCAATTAGTGACATAATTACTATACTCTTGAATTAAAAGTTTAAAAATCTCTATCTAGCATTTTTGTATTAGCTGTTAAAATATTGCCATGTTTTCTCTCAGCTTTTTGTTTTAATTAAATACAGATGGTCAAAGTCTGATGTTTTTCTTGGATATTTGGGGCTATAGTTAGCTGCTTTTCTAGGATAAAGATGTCAGCTTTCCTAAGAGCATAAGTCTTTTCTATCCCTCTTGAACTCTAGAACTATGTATCTTGCTTTTTAGTTGGCACCCTCTTGAATAAAGGCATCTCAAATACAACATATCTAAAACTAAATTGATTTCCCTCTCACTTCCCACCCCTCAGAAGACCCCAAATGTTGGTCCTCTGTCTTTGTTCCTTATTTCAGTGAATACACTCCATTATCTTTCCTGTTGTAAAGCTCAGAAAACTAGGAGGGATTCTTAATAACTCTCTCTCCCTGATATATCCATTCTGTCAGGTTTTATCAATCTTGAATCTGTCTATTCCCATTTCTACTGCTGCCACTTTAGCTCCTTACTATCATCTTGCCTGAAATTTCTACAGTAGCCTGAATTCTTGTCTGCCTACTTCTGTTTTGGCCCTTCTCTCATCCATTATCCATCCTGAAGGCACAGTTGACTCTTTTTGAAACACACATCTGATTGTCACTCTCCACTCCTCTTCCCCAGTCTTTCTACGGCTTCCCATTGCTTCTAGGGTAAAAATGAGGCTCCTTAACAATGCTTAGTCCTCTAGCCCCATCTTCTACTATGTTCTGTTTAACTCTCCACCTCAGCCAGCTAGCCTTGTTTTAGTCCTTGTACTTGTCTTGCTCCTTACCATTACAAGGCCTTTCCTCGAGTGTGCTTTTCTCCCAGTCTGGACCACCCATTCTTTACTTTACCTTCACTTATTGTGTCCTGGCCATCCTTCACACCTCAGCTGAAGTTTTGCTTCCGTAGGGAATACTCTAACCTCCAGATTAGGTAGTGACATCATACGTTTACCACGGTTCCAACTTACATTTGCTTGTGTGGCTGTATGGTGGTCTTTCTCTTCCACTGCCTCCGAACTCCGTGAAGACAGGAGCCACATCTGATTTTCTTTTCTGACCCATTGGTCAATCCCTGAAACCTAGCCCAGTGCCTCACACCTAAATATTGATTGAATTTCCAAGTTGATGTTATTGAAGATTTCAGCTCGTGGATTTTTATAATATAGGATTTTGAATATTAATATTTATAAATATGGTAGATAATCAAATAGTGCTAAAACTGCCAGTTATACTACTTTTTAAGTACATGAAAGCAAATTAGTATTTTACTAATATAAACTTACATTACTAATTATTGAAAACAATTACTATAAAATATAGCACAGTATTCTTAGATTACTTTATAATAAACTCATATTATAGAACAGTTTTAGGTTTACAGAATTATTACAGAGATAGCGTAGAGTCCCACATACGCCAAGCCCAGTTTTCACTAATGTTCCTATTCCAGGATCACACATTACATTTCATTGTCATGTGTCCTCTTGTTTCTCGGATGCCTTGCTTTTGATGACAAGTTGATAGTTCTGAGGATTGCTGGACCTGTATTTTGTAGACTGTTCCTCAGTTGGAATTTGTCTGACGTTTTCTCATGATCAGTCTGGGCAGTGTGTTTTCAGGAGGAAGACGACAGAGGTAAAGTGCCATTCAAGTCTCGTATCAAGAGTATATGCAGTCAAAATGCCTTAGCACTGCTGATGTTAAACTTGATCACCTGGCTTGAGATACTGTTTATCAAGTTTATCCATTGTAAAGTTACTTTTTCTCCCTCCTCTTTTTGCATATTGTGGTTTTAATAAGAAAGACACGACAGGAAATACACACTTAAGGAGTTAGGGGTTATGGTCCACCTCCTTGACAGCGGAGTAGTACATAAACTTTTATGAATACCTCTGCGAAGGAGATTTGCCTCTTCCCCCCACTCATTAAATTAGTCAGTCATTCTTGTGTATGTGTGTGTATAAATGTATATACACATCAGTGTTGACTCATGGATATTTATTTTATACTTTGAGTTATAATCCAGTACTACTGACCTATTTTGTTGCTCAGACTGTTCCAGCTTTGGCCGTTGGGAGCTCTTTCAGTTGGTTCTTTTAAGCAGCTTTCTACTTTCTGGCACTATAAGATCCTCTAAGCTCATCTTGTGTATTTCTTGCCCCAGTTCTAGAATCAACCAATTGTTTAGGAGTGCTGCTTCCCTTTACCGAAGAATGGTACAAAAAACCAAGATCTGGGCACTCTGTGTGCCTACTGTTGGGATTGCTGCTAGGAAATGTAAACTAACTCATACATGTGTGTATGAGTACTCATACATGTATATATATATATACACACACACATACACACATATATATCTGTAAATATTTCCTTATGTGACTATCTGTATAAAGCTATATTCTTAGATTATTTCTGTAAATATTTATCTGTATTTATTATATATATATCTAAATATTTCCATATGTAACTGTATCTGTATAAAGCTATATTCTTAGATTATTGCTCTGAGCTTTTTCCACTGAAAAATTACCTGTGAATATTGACAGGTTTATTTTAGACATTGGGAATTTAGTAACAGAATTCAAGTTACTCTCCAGCTCTCATTCTTGGTTGGCTTCACTGCTAATGTTCTGGAATTTAGCTAGCCATCTATGAAGAATGAGGACACAGTACACTGAATAATTTAGAGTTTATTTACAGCTGGTTTTCTTTCAGGGAGTAATTTAGTTTTGAGAGTCTTATCATTTTACTTCTCATTAGTTTCTCTGTAACACAATCTGAGTGGGGAAAATAAAAAGACTTTTCTGAACAGTTAATTTAGTTACCTGGTTAAAAGTTGGTAAGGATGGTAGGTATGGGAGTAGTTGATTATCTGTTAGGTTGACTTTTAAATTGTTTCCCATTACTAGATGTAATTGAGAATTATCTAAATTTTGCTAAAACTTTCTACTTTAGAATTGTCTAGACTGATGTTTTTATCTTAATGAACAACCTTAATTTATCACTATCTAAAAGGACTGGTAGGTGTGCAGCAAAATAGCTTTGCAAATACCAAATAGTTGTTAACATAAAGACAGCAGCATGATTTAAGTGATTCTTTATTCTCTTATCTCTTTTTGTTTGGGTATTCTACTTATGAAAGAAAATGTAATGTACATTAAACATGTTGTGCGGTAGATCATTTTCAGTTCAATATCATTTTCATTGCACAGGGAAAGGGACTTTTTTCCTATTTTAAGAAAACTACCATCACAAAAAACAAAATTATTTTAAATTGCTTTGACTAAAACAGAAAACTTCTGTATTTTGGATATTATTTTTCAACTCTAAACATGTGTAGTTATTTTACTGTGGACACTCTAACTCTGGTTGTGTTTTGTTTTTTACTGTAAACAAGTCAGTTCAATTTGAATTACAAAGTTAAAACAAGCCTTACCATTCTCTTCCTGTTTATTCTTAAGTGAGAAGAGGTAGACATGTTTCAATAGATTTTGTCGGGAATGAAGGAAAGAGAGCCACTTGCTTTTGTCTCAGCCCGTTAACCAGTAAGCAAGTTCAGATCAAAGCAGTCCCAAGTTCTGCAGTGTTCTGTCCAAAGTTCTCTGTATTTACTACCTTAGCATTGTCCTTGGCACAGTTCCTTGGTCCTATATGTTATATTCATAGCACTTCTCCCACTTTTTTTTACTGAAGGACCCCTAAAAGAACCCTTCAGAGGTTTCTTTGGAGACCCATATTTTGTCAAAAATTCAAGATTTTGTAGAAGACATATATGTATTGTTTTATTTAAGTGAATTTTGCTTTAATTTCCATAATATCATACTTATTTTGATAAAAAGAGTGTAAATTCTTGCTCCGGTATGATGTACCACGTTTATCATTTTTCTTTGTGCCTTGTTTATAGCTGCCTTCGGTGTTTTGAGCATAGCATTTCAGACCCTTGTGGTATGTGAGCCCCTTAATTTGAAAAACTCATGTTATGATTTCTGATCAGTAGCACTCATTCCATATATAGATCCCTTACTATTAACTTCTGAGTCTTTAACTCATTGGTATCATGGAGACTCAAATGCAGTTTTTTTGTTTCTGGTATCCATGGAGTCCTTTGTTTTCTATTAACTCCCTGATCCTGACAAATCTAGTACTCCTGCTATCTCTTTCTTGGGTCCTAAGAATACCCTAAAATGCATTTAAGAGTTTTAAGGTGTAGAAAACTTCCTCATTGTAGTTTCCCTTTGGATAGATCCAGTGTGTTTAGTTTGTGAAGATCAGAATGTGATTTTGATTGTGAAATGAAAACATCCCCAAACAAATCTAAAAAACAAACTAAGCAAACAACCAGAACAGGAACAGAATCATAGATATGGAGATTAATTTGGAGGGTTTATCTTCTGGGAAGGGGGAGGAAGGAGAATGGAGGAAAAGGTACAGGTATTAAAAAGCATAATTGGTAGGTATAAAATAGAAGGGGATGTCGAGAATAGTATAGGAAATGGAGAAGCCAAAGAACTTACGTGTGTGACCCCCGGACAAGAACTAGGCGGAGGTGAGGGGGGATTGCTGGGGTGAAGGGGGGTACTGGGTGCAGAGGGACAAAGGAGGAAAAATTGGGACAATCGTAATAGCATAATCAATAAAATATATTTAAAATTTAAAAAGCCAAACGGATGAATGATACGCTTCATGTAATATTACTGTTTATGCATTTTTTACAGCTGCTAATTAGTAATTCATTTTATAGATTATTGGTTCTTACACTCAGTGCATAAATACCCCTGGCTGATTTAAAGAAGTAGCCCTCAGAGATGACTTAAGGCATCTTTGGCCTCTAGTACAGATGTATCTGTGAGGCCTGAACTTGAATGGTAGTTTTGTAAGAGTAACTTATTCTCTTTTGAGGACAGTTTTTAAAAGATGACAATGAATTTAGGTAAAGATCAGAAAACATTTTAAACAGCATGAATTATGTTATTAACTTTTTACCTCTTGCCATTCCCCATGTTTGTTAGTTAGTTATCAAAGTTATGAACTTCCGAAAAATAAATGGGAAGAAGGTCAGAGCCTTTAAAGAATATGAATAAAACACAGATATAGTACTTATCTCTGCTGTTCTTAGAAATCCAGTTCCCTGTTTCTCTGTCTGCCTGGGGTTATTTGGTCTTTTCTTGAGCTGGGTGATAATCATATATTTTCCTAATTGGTGCAATTGTTTAATACGGGGAGCAGATGATAACTTCTGTTTCATAAGAAAATAGAAGACAGCAAAAATGAACTGCCTGAACTTTCTTGTTTCCATTCCACTCTTTGCTCTCTCCACCGTTCCTTCCTCCTCTTCTCCCCTCCGTGGAAGACGTTTCCTCTTGTCCAAGGGTAATTTCTCTGCCTTTACTCAGAATTCCTTACTGTTTTTTAAAAGCTTTTTAAAAAATCTCATTTTATACTTGCAAAAATAGTACAGAAAGTTTCCTTATATTCCTCACCCCTCCTGTCCTAATGCTGCACCTTATATAACCCTAATACAATGATCAAGAATAGGAAATATAATTATATAATTATAAAATTATCAAGAATGAGAAATATCAGTACAATATGATTAACTAAACTGTAGACCTTATTAGAATTTTACCAAATTTTCAACTAACTGTCCCTTTGCTGTTTTAGGATTCTATCTAGGAACCCCCACTGAATTTAGTGATTTCTGTATAGTCTCTTTTAAACTATTAAGTTTTTCAACACTTTCCTTATCTTTCATGACTACAACAGGTTTGAAGAGTACTGATCAGTTATTTTGTGAAATGTTCCTCAATTTCAGTTTGTCAAATGTTTTCTCACAATTGGACTGCGCTTATGCATTTTTTGCAAGAATACCACAAAAACACGATGTTGCGCCCTCATTGCAGCGTGTCAAGGGGAGTACAGTGTTGCCACGTCTTCCTAGTGGTGGTTGCTTATCATTTGGTTAAGTTGGATCTCTCGAGTTTCTTCATCTACTACCGCTTCTCTTCACTAGACACAGACCTTGTGGGAGATGCTTGGAAATTATGTAGTATAAATCCTGTTTGTCCTCACAACTTCTGCCCTCTTATTTTAGTGTCATCATGGGTCTTCTTGCCTGCAACATTTATTATTGTGATGTTTGCCTAATGGTGATTGTTTCCCTCTTTCTTTTCTATGTTGATTAATTGAGATTCTTTTGTAAGGAAGAATTGTGTCTTTACCTCCTTTTACTTATTTATTTGGTTATGTCAGCGTGCACTCATTAATATTTGCCTCATTCTGTGGCTTTAAATTTAGAACTATCATTTTGTTGCTCAGGCTCAGCATTGAACATCACGGGCTCCTCCTTTGTTCTTTCTACAGGCCCCTCCCCCCTTTTTATTTACTTCTCTTTATAGAATAGGGAAGTGAAGGTAAAAAAGAGGGAGAGAAATATCAATGAGAGAGAGAAACATCGATCTGCCTCTCCTACATGCTCCAGCCAGGGACTGAGCTCACACCTAGGCATGTTCCCACACCAGGAATCTAACTGGAGACCTTTTGCTTTGCAGGATGATGCTTACTACCAATCCACACCAGTGACACCCTCCCTTTTTTAATTTAACTTTTTTTTTTTTATACAAGAAAATGTTCTAGGCTTGTAATTTTCCTGCCTCAGCCTTAGAGTCAACCACTTCTTAGAATGGTATGTAGAGGGCAAAGTCTGAGCACCAGTTACACTCACTGGTGCGGGGTGTCACTACTTCTAGGCCCTCTCAGTGAACAAAGCTAGGAAACCTGTACGTATGAATACATTTGTGTATTACACACACACATTAAAAACCGTGATTTTATACTGATAATTGATTCCAACCCAACAACACAGGTTTTATGTTAGCATTTCTCCTCCTTTTATTTATAATTTTTTCTCCAACAGGGAGAAATTTAGTTCTCAGTATTTAGATTCTATTACTTATTCGTTCAATTGTATTATACACATAATTTCAAAATTATTAATCTCTTCCCTTGTGAAAAACTTTTACTAACTAGACTAACAGTATTTATGTACAGTTATGAATACAGTATATATTAATAGATCTTTTAAATTCTTCATGTCTCAGATGATTTTGTCAGATTATTTTTGAACATTGAGGTGTATATTCTTATGTTCTGCATACTTTTTCTGAACTTTCAGTTTTGTTTCTTTACCTGTTATAATCAATAGGTGCACATATGATTGTAGATAATTTTGCAAAGCAAATTACAACTGAAGTATGTCGTGGAATATTTGTAAGGATATTGATGAAGTAATATGGCTTTTAACTAAATGATTTAATGTGTGTTTAACACATTTTACTTCTAGGCATGTCTGACTGCAGCAATGATACTGCTACTCTTGGTGCATCTAAACCAGCCACGGAAGAAGTCAAGTCTAATTCTGAGGTGATTGGGTGGCATTTATACTGCTCTTCAAAGGCAGCCCATCGCAATCCGAGTTTTAGACTGTACAAACGGACTTCATTGATCTGCACATGTGCTAGACGCTTACACACACAAGCACAGGAAAGGAGTGGAAGGGGAGGTTTCTTCTTAATAGGAAGCAAGTTACCATTTGCTTTTCCACAATGAAATAAATATAAAAGTTGGGTCCAGTTAGAGTTTCTAGTTTAAATGTGAAATGAGGTTTCTGTTGAAAATAATAGTAGTTAAAGGTTCGCCTTTGAGTTCATCTAGTCTAATACTCTTTCTAATTAGGTGTGCTTCAGAATCCAAGTGTACAGATTTTTTTTTTTAATACTGAGTTCTGGATTTCAGACTCACTGAATCAGAATCTACAGACATAAACACAGGGCCATGTATATTTTTCTGTTTATTTGTTTTTAGAAGTTCTACAAGTGATTCTAATACAGACCACCTATGTACTACTGTTCTAGTTCACTAGAATAATGAAAAAAACATTAAGTTAATTTTATAGTACAGTCAAGTCACTAGATATTTTTTTAATACCATTACTAATACTAGTAATACCCCTCATATTTATAGTGCTTAAAAGATTTACAGAGTAACACTTTCATATTGTCCCACCTTGGTCCTTAGGTCAATTTGATGTGATTCACTTAGGTAAGTAGAATAATTATTATTTTCCCCATTTATTTGTTGAACATATTTAACTTTCGGAGAGGTAGAGACTGACGTTTGGGAGTTGGCGAGGCTGGAACACAACGTGGGGTCTTTTGACTCTAGTTTCGCTGTTTCTGAACCAATTTGCCACCTGCACTTGGGGGGTAATGGCAGCCAGGGCATTTTTTCAGTCAAGCCAAGGCACTGTGAGTCTGTGTGACGAGCTTTAATACAGGATTTAGAGCAAGTTAATTTATTGTTAATTCAACAGTCAAAGCTGAGTGCTAGTTGGCAAATTATGTATTGGGGGATTCTGGATTCTTTGTGATTTAAAATAGCTTGGCTTTTATCATTTATGAAAGCAATGTTGTAGTTATATTTAGTTCTGAGAAACTGGGGACTTAGGTATGCTGTATTTACCTTAACTCACGGATTTGATTTTTTATGGTCAGATCTCTGAATATACTATTGAGTGATGATCAGGGGAAGTTTGATACATGTGAACTACAGGGAAGATTAGTGGCCCAGCCAGTGATGGGACCCATAATAAAAGAAAATCCCCTGCAGGGCAGGGCAAAAGGAGGTTTACAGTTGTGAATATACAAAGCACAGAGTTTATTCTTGTATTATAGTTTATTAATTATTGTATTACTTTCTATACAAACAACTGTAAACCTACTTTTGTCCCACCTGTATTTGTGGTTTACCACTGTAAGCTTCGTCTTTGTGACTGTCACTGGGATACATGCTAAACTAGAATTTTCCTACTGCATTAAGAGTTAAGCTTGATGGTGATGATCTGAAAGGAAACCACTGCCGAGTAATTGTTCAGATTTGTCTGTAAATTAACAACAAAGTCCACGTTAGTAGGCACTCCCTGCTTTTTTACCATACTCAAATGTACAGCATTCACAAGGAATACTTAAAAAAAAAGAGGTGTGTAAGTGTAATATGAATTTATGCCCCAATTTAAAAGCATACTAAGAGTTTAGAATGAACTGAAGTAGGATTTAGGAATATTTTGGACTTTAAAATCCCCCTCTATTAACATTCTACTAACTTAAATCTGCTTTTTTTAAAATCCATTGAAACTATTTGGGGGGTCACATTTTGCTTACAAGAATTTTTATTTTAATATATTATAGCTCTGTATATATCTTGGCCATTCTCTTAATTTTAAATATTCTATACATCAGAATTTTCAGTAATTCAGACCAGTCCTAGCAGAGCTTGGCACATCACTGGTGGTCAATTTGATGAATGAATTCATTCTCACTGTACTAGTGTAAAGATCTGGATATCGGTTTGGGGAGGGTTAAGAATAGAATATGATGACTTAGGTGATCATTTTCATTTTGTCAAAAGCAAAACAAAATAGCCCTAACCCCTGTAGCTCGGTTGGTTGGGCATCATCCTGCAAACCGAAGGATCATCCGTTTGATTACCGTCCTGGCACACGTCTGGGTTGCGGGCTGATTTCTGATTGGGGTGTGTGCAAGAGACAACCAAGCAGTATTTCTCACATTGATGTTTCTCTCCCTCTCCCTCTCTCCCTTTCCCCTCTTTAAAAATACATACATACATACATAAAATCTTTAAAAGCAAAACAAAACAACAAAACCTCCAGCATTGTGAACTGAGCCAAAAACATTATCAGCCCTGAAAAAGGAAGGGTTTTAAAGTTCATTTAGGCTCTGTAAAGTGAATTGCCTTGCTCATGATCACTTAGCTAGTTAATTGCAGAACTCAGAGTGATTTCCTAACTCTTGATCAAATGCTGTTTCCATTAAAACGTCTATCTCATCGGTGACCATAAAAGTCCTTTGTTCTTCTACATGTGGCTTTTTTTCAATGACATAAGGGGCTTTTTTGTTTTCTTTTCTTTTTTAATTTAAAAAAGAAGATATGAGCCTGGCTTGCTTTGTATTCTAAGTCCAATCTTGATTAGAGCAGATAAAGGTAGATTTCATTCTTTGTATTTTTAATATTCAAATGTTATACCTTGAAATGTGTCTAAACTGCTGCTTCTGTATCTGCAGAAGAAATAGTAGCCTAATAGGCACCATTCACTGAGAACCTGCTGGGTGGAGGCTGGGTTTTCCATGTACCTCATTCAGCACTACAGTAATGTCCTGTTTGCATTTGAGCCTTTCTCCTTCATTTTGTAGAGTAGGCAGTGGAGACCTGGAGGAGTTAACCTAGCCAGTGCGGAAAAGGGCTATGACAGGAACCCAGAGAAAGTAGAAAAGATTAGTAAATGTAAAAAACTAATCAGGAAAAATACTGCTTAAAAATAGACGTGAGGAAGTTTGGAAAACAGGTTAATTTTTAACAACAGAAAAGGAAAGCAAGCAAATTAATTTTGTCAGGTTTTACTATATCCTAAGATTATTGATTATATTTTTCTGTGTGCCCTTCAAAATAGTAAATACACCAATTTCTAATATCCAAGAAAAATATACAGATACTTTCATTTTTAGAGAGGGGAAGGAAGGGAGAAAGAGAAGGAGAGAAACACCAACTGCTTGCCTCTTACACACCCCCAACTGGGGACCTGGCCTGCACCCCGGGCGTGTGCCCCAGACTAGGAATTGAACTGGTGACTTTTTGGTTCGCAGGCTGGCACTCAATCCACTAAGCCACACCAGCCAGGGCACTTTTATTCTTCTTTTACGTAAGTAACTCAGAGGTCTAAAAAGTGAATTAAGCCCTGGCTGGTGTGGCTCAGTGGATTGAGCATTGGCCTAGGAACCAAAAGGTCACAGGTTTGATTCCCAGTCAGGGCCCATGCTCAGGTGGCAAGCAGGGCCCCAGTTGGGGTATGCAAGAGGCAACCAATTGGTGTTTCTCTCCTTCTCTTCCTCCCTCCCTCCCCTCTCTCTAAAAATAAATTAATTTTTTTAAAAAGCGACTTGGGTACAGATTCTACACTCAAGGTACATGTTGATTAACGGGATTTTGAATTAAATAAAATGTAGAGTAATAATGCCTTAGAGTGGTACAGATGAAGAATGGTAGCAGTTCAGAGGGGTATCAGCCAGGAATATCAGTGAGGGTGGCATTTAAACCGAGCCTTGTAGTGTAGGTAGAATTTGACCATGTGAGTGATGTTGGTCACAGTTTGAGCAGAGAGAGAAAGACATGTATGGGAAAGTGTGAGTAGTTGGATGGAATAGAATCTGAAGAAGTAAAATTTGTAGGTCATGGATTTTTTTTTTCATGGAAGGGTTTTGAGTGTTGGGAGGAGTGGGCTTTTATGTTGTAAACATTGGGGAAGGAGGGAGACATATTAAACATATACATTATTTTATAAAGTAACGTAAAGTAGTCCTACTACTATAAAGCAAGGCAAGGGACTAAAAGTAGGTAGAAGGGTACTGCTGATTTATTTCAGTTGGCTGAGCTTCCCTTCATAGATAATGTTTGAGCAGAAACCTGAATGACGTGAGGGGGAGAGTCCTGTGAAAATGTGGGAGTAAGAACCTTCGAGAAAGAGAACACAGCCAGGGCAAAAATAAGATGTGGTGTGTTTGAGGAAGAGTGGTGAGGTGTCTGGGGCTAGAACCAAAGGTCGGCGAAGGAAATGCAGGTCAGGGGTAGCTGGCGGCTGAGGTTGGCTTCCCACGGAAAAGAGGATGACGGGCAGATGGGGAGAACGTTGGGAGCACGTGGTTGACAACAGACAAATTAGATGGCGGCACTCCTACAGTTAAAGTATTTGTTAAGAAAAATTTGCAACATGAAATGAAAGTTAAATAATAAATGGATTCCCATATACATGTCATCCAAATTTAATAATTATCTGGATTTTACCACATTTGCTCTATCCATTCCTTTATAATAATACAGTAGGTTTGAGGGTTATCTTCCTTTTAAAACATAAAATTGCCTAGATAGATCAACAAAAAAAAAGGACAAGGCCACAAACAGTAGCATTTGTAACTGTATTTCAACTCTGCCTTAATACTGGCCTGTGTTAGAAGAGTGTAGTTAGGGCGCCCGACAGTTAGGAAGAGCAGCTGCTCTGTAAATACCAGTGCGGAGGGAGCCGTTGCAGTTTTGTCCTGTTGGTCCTGAGCTGTAATTAATGTGCCGTAATTACAACATCTTCACATAGCATTTTTAGTTTGCCAAGCAGTTACATATCTGATTCTAGATGAGGTTAATAATCTTCTTTTATAAATGAGGAAATTGAAACTTTCCTTATTTAGGGAAGTGAAATGACTTTTATAAAGTTGTATAAAGGGGCAGAGGCTGGTTGTTAAATTCATGTCTTCTGATACCTTGGTTAGATCTGCATTCCATGCAGTAGGCTTGTTCCCCTTACACTTTTGAACCATATTGAATTAATACTTCATAATAAATACCTTAACCATTTTTAAAGAAGGTCATATTTTACTAATACAGAAGGAAATTTCAAAGACTTTGAATTCTGAGTGCAATAGAATTGCTTTCTCTTTTTGTAGGCAAAGAAAAATGTAAACAATGCCATCTGACACAGAAGGCATTTGTACTTTTCTGTATTGGAACAAAATACAGCCTCAGTTGCCACGCGTAATTAGTCCACTTCGCACTGTGACCTTCATTGTCGAAAGCCATGGTTACAACAATTGGAGCTGAATATTTTTGACTTCTCTCTTTTCTTACCACTGTTTACCTTCTTCACTTTTGTCTAAAATTGACTGAAATTAAGAATATAGTCTTGTAAATTAGAAGAAAATGTAACTACTCTTTGATAAGTAGAACAAAATATCCATTGAATATATGCAGCCAGTAAACTGAGAATTGGAAACCTTTTACTGTACTTTTTTTAGTAAATTATCAAATAACATTTTAAAATGGCAGAGTTAAACAATTGGATAAACTTTAAGCTTATTATTATATCACTTTATTTTTGCTTGTCCTGAGTGGTTAGTTAAAAAAACATTAAATGTGTTTTAGAAGATAAAATGCTCTGTGTAATTTCAGAAGTCTAATTAATGCTAAGATCTTGTTATTAATGCTAACAACATTCTTTTACATCCTTTCTGTTTTATAAGTATTTTAAAAGTATTTGAGTTTTACCGTTAATATTTCCCTGTGCCCCCTCTTATGTTGTTAAGATAGCTTTCTAGTGTTTGGATCAAATTTTGTTAATGTTACATCTCTTTATTTTCCATGGGGTGTTCACCTGTAAATGCTGGCTGTCAAGTGTAGAGCTTTTAAAAATAGTGTGTTGAGGTATACTTTCAGGATTTGAAAAACATTAGTAGTGTCAGAGTCTTGGGAGTTACGGAAAAGGCTATGGACTAGGAGATGAGTTGGCAGGGAGAAGAGTCACTGTGCATTGAGGGTGAAGATGAAGATAACAGACATCTGGTTGCCTAATTGATCAGTGTGGAGAGAATTAGGGGAAGCAGCTAGAGAAGTAGGGAGCGGTCAGATTGTAAGTAGTTTACTAGGTTTGATGATACGATATTTTGAACTTTTATGTAATAAGATACTAGCTCTGCCTTTCCCCAGCCACATCTTGTGTGGCTTTCCCCAGGATTGGAAGGGGGCTGTGGCTGGGCAGCCAAAAATTAAGATAGGTGTCATACTTGGCTAAAGCCTGACTCGGCAGACCAAAAAGAGGTGATTTTCTTTTGCTGTTTTAAAAGATCTAGCATTTCACACATATGTGGAATCTAATGAACAAACTGAACTATCTATCTAGCAAGATAGAGACAGACTCATAGATGGAGAGCAGGATAACAGCTAAGGCAGATGCATTTTTATTATATTAATACCATGTTTATTGTATAAGTATTAGATGGGTTATAATTATTTTTTAAATGCTATATTGTTGGCTTTTGAAGTACCACAGACATGAATGTAGTCTTGAATTTTGCCTTTTATGATTTGGTGTTATTTATGACTTTTTTTCCCTCTTTTTTAGGAGTCTACCATGGCTCAGGATTCTCCCAAAAGTTCAGCAGCAGAGATCCCAGTGACTAGTAATGGGGAAGTTGATGACTCTCATGAACATGGCTTTAACAGGGTAAAACTTCTTTTCTTTCTCTCGATACAAACAATCACAATAAGCCCTTAAATGTTGAGACCAAAGTAATCGAGTTTATTGTAGGAATACTTTCTTAGATTGACCAAAGTACCAGGAATCTAATGTATCCTGTGGGGATGACTAGGTGGGTCATCTCAGTGATTTGTTGAGATTCAGTACCAGTTCGGGAAGCACTGAGACTTGGAAGTTGCTGTCAGTCATTTTATTGTATGACCAGAACAAGAGTATGTCTGACAATTTTGGCCTATAACTTTATAAAGCTACTTAATTTTGTTTGTTATGAGAGAAAATATTAACTCCAGCTCATTCTTTTAAACACCGGCACTGTCTAATCTCTTTTATGTGTCATTACTGTGTAATTCCTAAGTAGAGTATTCCCAGCTTGGCTGTTCACTTTCAGAAGTGCTTCCTAATGTGTACTTGACCCAAAGGAAAATGAAACTAGGGGTGCTTTTACTTTTGATCTGCCTCTCATTTGAAATAGCCACTCAAGTGCATTTTAATGGGAACACCTTGTGTTTGGACATAATCTGGGCTATGTAATTTTTAGTGTTGTAACCTTGGGCAAGTATTTATTTAATATCTTCCTAGTTTTTGTTTTCTAATCTTTATAAATGAGAATCTTATTTACTTCTATGGGGATGTGAGTATTAAATGGGATAAAATATATAATATGCTGAATATAGTCCTAGAATTAATAGCGATGATTTTTTTCTGGAGATATTTTTATTAAACGTCTTTTTTAAATGATATGTGGTACATGTTTACAACTTTAATAACTTTAAAAATACAGTTTTCATATTTTTGAAAATGGTTGAAAGGTAAATTATTTTACAGTTTAAATAGGGCTCGCCCTGGCCAGTGTGGCTGAGTTGTTTGGGGGCATTGTACCATAAACCCAGAGGTCGCAGGTTTGATTCTTGGTCAGGACACAGGCCTAGGTTGCAGTTTCAGTCCCTGGCAGCATGAGAGGGGCCACCAACCAATGTTTCTCTTGCACATCAGTGTTTCTCTCCCACTTCCTCCCTTCCCCTCTATCTAAAATCAATAAGCATGTCCTTGGGTGAGGATAAATAAATAAATGAGGCTCTTTTTACTTTATTTGTTTATGAATAAATTATTTTAGTTTAACGGAAGGTGATAGATCAGAATTTCCCAATCTCAGCACTGTCGACATTTTGGACCAGATAAATTCCTTGTTGTGGATAAATTCCTTGATGTGCATGTAGAATGGTTAGTAGCATCCCTGGCCTCTTCCTGTTAGACATCAATAGTACCCTGCAGTTGGTACAAGCAAAAATATCTCCAGACACTGCCAGATGTCCCCAGGGGAGGGGAAAGACTCACCTCTGATTGAGAACTACTGTTTTAGCTAGATCATTTTAATCAATTTTACTTACTTTTGCCTCAGCAGTCCTTTGGAGGGAACACATGTGTCTTTAGGCTTGAGGTTTCCTTAATTGCAGGTGCTTTAACTTGGTTTCTAAGCACATATTGTCCAGTATAGAGTGACTTTCAGAGAAGAAACAGACCCTTAAATTTTGAGCACAGGAAGGAAATTTTCATTTCAGGTGTAAGTCTTTCTGGTATTTGAAACACTAAGACACACCTGCATAATTAGAAAACTCAAGTTACTATCATCAGACTCTACATATTTCTTTATAAACTTCTATTAATTCAAATAATTATACCAAGATTTTAGAGAATAATTTCTTTGTCTAATTTTTGGTAACACTTCCTTTTGCAAATTTATGCTGCAAATACTTATTATATATTATATACCAGATACGATATAACAGAGAATAAAAATACCTGCCATTAGGAAGTTGATATTATAATAGTGTATTGAAAGCCAAAGATCTTCATTTAAGAAAAATGCAATGCATATAAAATACCGCATTATTTTGGATATTCCCTTCCCCTCTTAAACCTCTTCTTTTTCTTGTTGCTGCTGAGGGTTTTTTTGTCTTGTCTTGTGTTTTTGAGCTTTAGGTTATACATACTAAAAAGCGCAAATGTTAAATGTGCAGCTCATTGGAACCACATACACATCAAGATGTAGACTATTTGCAGGACCTAAAATCAGCTCTGTCTTGCCCTTTTGTAGGCAAGACACTTCCTTTCTTTCCAGGGTAATCACAACTATTTCAGCTCTATCCTTATAGATTGCTTCTGACTGCTTCTGTACTGCATATAGACGCCATCATACAGTATATATACTCTTTTCTGACTGGCTTTCACTCACTCTTATGTCTGGGGACTTTATTCATATTGTTTGTGGCAGTATTTAATTCATTTTCATTGTAATATAATTTCCCATTGTGTTACTATACCACAATTCGTATATCCATTCTTCAGTTAATGGATACCTTAGTTGGTTCCAGTCTGTTGCTATTATGAACAGAATTGCTGTGTCCATTCTTATACAGGTCTTTGGTACAGATGGTCGCATATTTCTGTTGGATATATACCGAAAGTTGCAATTGCCAGGTCATGGGTACATGGTGTTTGGGTTTGGTAGATAATGCCAACTAGTTTTCCAAACTTGTTGTACCAGTTGACAATTCTAGTAATGAATGAGAGTTCTAATTTTCCACATCCTTACCAATTCTTGGTAAGGTCATACCTTTTAATTTTAACCATTCTGATGGAAGCATAAGGATATCTCATTGTGGACTTCCGCCAAGATGGAGGCATAGGTGGAAGCACTGTGCCTTCTTGCACAACCAAGTTTAAAAACAACAAAGTTTTAGCAACAACAGCCAAACCACAAAAAATTGAACTATACGGAAGTCTGACAACAACAAACCCTTCAGCTAAACCAGTAAGAGGGGCAGAGCCAGCAGCAGAGCAGGGTCGGGCAGGAAAGATACACTGGACAGACCCAGGCACTCCACCCAGGTGCACCAACAGCCGTGGGTGGATCCCAGGTGTGGAGTAGCAGGCGGACCTACCGAGGGCGCAAGGTGGTGGACCCACTGAGGACTGACCACAGTCACACATTCCCACGCAGATAAACCGGTGAAGGAGTGAAGCAGTGAGACAGACCGTGCAGGCCCCAGTGGCAGGAAGCGCCAGGGGGGAACCGCCATTGTCCCTCTCTGACCCCGCCCCCACATACAGCGTCACAAATCAGCGACCTGGGTGCCCTGCCCTGGTGAACATCTAATGCTCCACTCCTCATACATAACAGGCACAAACAGATCAAAACATGGCTCAAGAACAACTCAGAGCCCCAGAGCTGATAAATCTAAGTGATGAAGAAATAGCCAAACTTTCAGATGCACAGTTCAAAACACTGGTGATCAGGATGCTCACAGAACTGGTTGATTTTAGTCACAAATTAGAGCAACATATGAAGGCTAAACTAATTGAAATGAATGGAAATGCACAGGAAACCAATAGTAATGGAAAGGAAACTGGGACTCAAATCAAAGGAGTGGACCAGAAGGAGGAAAAAAAATGACCAAACAGAAAAGGATGAAGAAACAAGAATTCAAAAAAAATGAGGAGAGGCTTAGGAACCTCCAGAACATCTTTAAATGCTCCAACATCTGAATTATAGGGGTACCAGCAGGGGAAGAGAAAGAGCAAGTGGAAAACTTATTTGAACAAATAATAAAGGAGAACTTCCCCAATCTGGCAAAGGAAATAGACTTCCAGGAAATCCAGGAAGCTCAGAGAGTCCCAAAGAAGTTGGACCCAAGAAGGAACACACCAAGGCACATCATCATTATATTAGCCAAGATTCAAATGAAGGAGAGAATCCTAGAAGTAGCAAGGGATAAGGGGACAGTCACCTACAAAGGAGTTCCCATCAGACTGTCAGCGGATTTCTCAAAAGAGACCTTACAGGCAAGCAGGGGCTGGAAAGAAGTATTCCAAGTCATGAAATCCAGACCTACATCCAAGATTGCTCTATCCAGCAAAGCTTTCATTTAGAATGGAAGGGCAGATAAAGTGCTTCTCAGATAAGATCAAATTCAAGGAGTTCATCATCACCAAGTCCTTATTATATGAAATGTTAAAGGGACTTACCTAAGAAAAAAGATAAAAAAGATGAACAGTGAAAGGACAGCAAACTCACAGTTATTAAGAATCACACCTAAAACAAAAGCAAACTAAGAGGACAGCTAGATCAGGAGTAGAACCATAGAAATGAAGATCACAAGGAGGGTTAGCAACAGGGGAGTGGGAGAAGGAGAAGGGGGAGAAGGTGCAGAAAGTAAGTAGCATAGACAGTAGATAGAAAATAGATAGGGGGGGAGGGTAAGAATAGTATGGGAAATATAGAATCTAAAGAACTTGAGACACATGGTCATAAACTAAAGGGGGGAATGGTGGGGGACGGGGTGTGCAGGGTGGAGGGGAATGAAGGGGGAAATAGAACAACTGTAATGGCATAATCAATAAAATATATTTTTAAAAGATATCTCATTGTGGTTTTGATATGCATTTTAATGGCTCACTGATGATTAATGATGTTGAGCATATTTTTATATTCATATTGACCATTTGGATATTATCTTTTATGAAGGGCCTTTTTCAAGTAGTTGGGCCATTTTTCTATTGGGTGTGTGTGCCTTTTCTAGTTCATTATAGCTCTTTACATATTCCAGGCATATATTATTTGTTTGGATATGTGTGTTACAGATATTTTCTTCCAGTCTGTAACTTGCTTTTGCACGCTGTTACTGGTATCTTTCAATGAACAAAAGTTATAAATTCTGATGAAGTCCAGTTTATCAGTGTTTCCTTTTAGCGATTTTTGTGACCTTTTTAGGATATCTTTGCCTGTCCCAGGATGATGAAGATACTGTTTTCTTCTAAAAATTTTATTGTTTTGCTTCTTGTGCTTAGATCTGTGATTCATCTTGAATTAAAATTTGTGTATTGTGTGATGTAGGAGTTGAGGGTTTCTTTTCATCATAGAAATATCTCATTGATACTCACCTTCTATTGAAAAGACTCCATTATCC